CATTGTAATGGCCACTAATAAAAGTTTTATGACTATGTCATGGCTATTTATATCCACCAATATAACTATGGCCAAGCCCAAGATCAGTGGTCGTCCGTTACAATGTCCTCACCAACATTGTTGTTTTGCAGTAACATAGTCGTGATTCACATACTTTGTGCTTCACGAATTAACAAAAACTATCAAAATAGATAGTCATACAATTCAAGAATTTATTGAAGAAAAGATGTGATCAAATATTGTTTCATATTCAAATTATTCTCATCTCAAGGGAGTATATAATCATGTAGATGGTATGATTGCAATTGGTAGTTTTGTTTTGTCTAAAAACGTGGTTGAAACTCTCCTTCATCAAAATCTGCAAAGACAGAAACAAGAGAAAAGATATGGAAATGCAATATATATATTTTCGATGTTATTAATGCGTATAAAAGAACAAAATGTTGATTTTGAGTTATAAAAAATGACAATTGTAGTGTTACAAACAATGAATCCCTATTGTTTACCCACTTCCACAAATCTTCATGGCATAGCTCAAGGCAAAGAATTTGATTGAGGATGAGCATTTCAGAACGTACCTGCGGAGTTTCTTTATACGGTCTCCGTAGTTCCTAAACTGTCTTTTGAAACCATTTTCTCAATCTTGAGCTTTGGTAATTACCACCCTCTCTGGCTTCATCAAACAAAAAATCACAATCCTCTTCTTCTTTGGTTGTGCTAACTGTAAAACTGAGGTTACTATAAAGACTACCGGAAGTATCTTTTCGTGCTTATGTCCGTCACATCCTACCCTCTTCTTCTGTAGTCTCGCAAATACACCCGGGAAGAGGATTTGCATAGAAACTCTCTTCCAGCTTCGGGAACTCCCCTGACTCTCTGTTATATGGAGCTCCATTTCGGTCTTTGTGTAGCTTTTTTACTTTGGAACTGAACTTTTTCCAAGATATTTTGCCCTCATCCAAGGCATCAACAAGTTTCACAAAGTTCATCCTGCATCGACACAAAGAAGATGTGATCAGAACGATAACTTTTGTTACTACAAACTAGAGAGACATTCAGGTTCATTTTTACTTGTCTGGATTTATGGTCTTTTTAAAGTTCTCGAATCGCCTGTGACCTTGAACTGCTTTCGCCATGTTCCCATCATATGTGTAGAGAAATACCTCACTCTGAAGTGCAACAATATAATCTAAACCAGCCAACATATTCTGGTGATTATTAAAAGGACGTAGCTCTTCTTCCGTGGCAAGAGTTGAATGTGAGAAAATGTTGGGGAAATCTGTGTTGAGAGGATCCATGCTTCCATTTCCATAACCATCACCAGCTACGAGGTAAATCCTGGAGCTGGATGGGAACTCCAAAGCCCTCAGCAAAAGTGAGGTCTCCCTCGGAGTCAAGGGACACCCACCTTGCAGTCTTCTCTCTGTTCCATTTATTTCTTTTTCTTTCCAGTGACTCACCTCATACCTCATCTGGCGTAGTTCTTCGTCTTCTTCAGCTGTCAAACTATGACTGCAGCCAGTGAAAGCCAGCATATCCTTCTCATACCTGTAGAAACAAAAGGAGTCTTGTTCATTTGAGCAAAAAAAAGATGATATACTTGTAATGAACCAAACATTGTACAGAATATTTCAGATTTTCCATGAGCTATATACCACACCAATTCAAACTAGTCTTGGATCTAGTAGATTAATCTAATTACTACCATGTGACAAACAGACAAAACTACTTGCCTTAAATGAAGAGCAAGGTATGGACCTCTGTCCTGTCTCATTCTAGAAACTAGAACGCTTCCTAGTTCCTCTATTGGAGCTGAATATTTCAGTGCCCTATAGTTTACACGGCAACGCAGCTTTTGTACAGAATTAGGCAGCTCGTTGTTAGCAAGCCGGGAATCAGTGTGAGTTAAGTACATTACAACATGCTGTTTCAACAATGGAAGGACCTCTTTCTTGTAGTAACCAACCTGTAACAAAGAAAAATTATTGAGTCTTTTCTTGAAAACAATTGTATGCAAACACTAGTGAACCCAGGGACCCAATAATAACTAAATATCAAGAAAGCAATCTTGACCTTAGACCACGATATGGGCGTCTTAACGAAAGGCTCGATTCCAGCTAATTCTGAAGGCAGGGTCTCAACTATGTGAATATCATCTTCCAACTCTTCAATGAAGTGTTGCCAATCAAATAGATCCTTAAAGCCACTGCAAACAGGGTGACTTAAGGAAATAAGCTAGGAGCAGACAATAAAACGAACTACAGAGTGCGTAACAAGTTGTGTGCTTCTGTAAAAAGGTGTGACTAATAAAATGCCTTAATAAAGTTAAGAACTAGCCTGTCATCTGCCCAATATGAACTGTGGTCAAGCGAGGGAAGAACTAAAGTTGACTTCATTATTTTAGCCACTGCAACCATATCACATATCTGCATTCTAAAATGGTTAAACGCATCAGCCTAGAACTTATAAACACAAGAGAACTCCAGAAACATTGAGAAACACACAAAAGCCTGACCCCAAATCTCATTTGGTTTAGTCCTCCATTAGCATTTATCAGAAGGTATCCATTCGTATTAGCACCTAACTCTGCGGACAACATATATCCATGCGGTAAGAACATAAAAGCAGACAACAAGAACAAAATTACTACTAACAGGACTAATAGTTTATATATTTGCCAAGGACATACTTTTGCGACGCCTGGCAGTGTCGATGCACTGCGAGAAATTCCCACTCTCAGGTTTTGCCCACACACCTGAATACTGAATGAAGAACAAAGCAAGATTTCAGTAGAAATCTCTATACCAAGACTCCACTATAAAGCTTGGGTCCAATTAAACAAATGTGACCTTCTGAGCTAAGACTTACTTCAACCACACCGCTTTGGTCACTCGCCACGCCTGAAGAATCCGTAACCAAAGTTGGATCAACATCATTTCCTCCATCTTTATAGATATAATCATGTGAGCTATGATCTAGTAGATTAACTTTGGGTATGGAGTTGGATAATTCCTAGGAGTATTATCATGAGAAATGTGAATCAAGCAGGCAATACTAGAGTCGAAATTGAGATTTTACACATCCAAAATCTAGGAGGAACCTGATCAGAAGCTGCTCCATCAATGGCAGATCCAAACCAACCAGTAGCACAAATCTTGAAAACACCCATAAACAAACAAACACCACAGAAGACGAAGAACATCCAATGACCAAGTTTCTTCTTCTCTCTCAAACTGAAATCCGAAACAACGGAGCCCATCGGTTTCCTCAACAGACCTTTTACAACTCTCTCTCTCAAGTGACCATACGTCTGATGTTTCCGATTGAGAGCCGAATCAAACCCAGTCGTTTGAAGATCCGGACCCGAACCAGAAGCGATCTCTGATCTGGGTGAGAGGTGTAGATCGATCTCGTGGTGAACTCTCAAGCTTGAGCCGGTATTGTTGTCACCCGCACTGACGCCGACGTTGTTGTTGCTACTGCTACCACCGGAGCCGCCGCGTTTGAAAGATTGAGCACGGCGAGTCATAGGACCGGAGAATCGAGGGCTATTGACATGTTGAGGGACGCCATCGCCACCGTCGTGGTGGTGACCCATTTCAAGCTCTTCTTCGATTGTTGCTATCTTTATCTGATTCACAAGGAAGAGGAGATCAAAAGGCAAAGCTTGAGATTATCCAAAAATTCCTCAATTTGGTTGTTTCCCAGATTCAAGTGGGAAACTGAGATTTGAGGCTTAATTTTGCGCGTCCTAAGTGTTATGGTTAGTAGTATTATTTTCTCTTTATTTTTTTTTCTATTTAATATATAATTTTTTCTTGTTATTAAAATTTTATTGATTCTATAGTAGTAATTTGAAAAAATGTTACATATCTACATAAAACCATTATCTTTGAGAGAGAGAGTCGACATTTTGTTATCTCCAACTTTGATCGGGGTTGCATTTCTGTTTAACGGATAATAAGCTTCCGGCATAAACCATATTTGTTAATATTTCTGACTAGATCGTATCTCTTGTTTTGTTTCTTCTTTTTCACTATCTTTCGCATGCGCTTTATATTCTTCTAAATTGATTTCAGAGATATCAATCTGGAGGAATCTGATGCTTTAGATGCTTGAGTTTTCTTTTGGGGGTATAAATCCTCGCTCTTCCGTTAGGGATTCTTAATTGAGCGTAGGTTCACTTCAATTGAAGATCCATGGAGATGTGGTTGGATGGAGCAAATATGAAGATCCAGTGTTCTCATCGTGTTCTGATGGTTATTCGATAAGTATTTTATTCTTTCTTAGCAGAAGAATACGATTCTAATGCGTAAAGAGATCGGTAGTTTTCTCTGGTGTTCGATAGCGAAAGGTCTACAATCTTACAAATTGTCCAGTGAAGGTGGTGAAAATTGACGACAGAGATGAAGTTGAACTGTCGATGTTTTCCAGCACTACTGACCGTCGGCGGCGAGTGAAAAAGATGACGCTTCATGAACTCTCTTTCCTCTTGCCACATGTGCCCTATGTTGTTTCATTATAGGCCATGTGTATTACATGTATGTAATTTTGATGTGGTCAAATTATAATTGAGCTTTTTTCACTCGACTTGTATCTATTTGTATGTTTTTATGGACTTATCGAATTAATGAAATTGTATGACCAAAAAATTCAACAGAAAACCATTAATAATAAACATAAACATATCACAATTATCCTCCCTAAATCTACAAGTAGATGAGGACAAAAATTTACAATGGGTGTGACTGGTAGACTTTGTTAGAGTAAAACATTTTTTTCTTCTTCTATATTCAACTTAAATTTTACCAGCTGAGAGTAATTGAGAAGAAACAAGTGTTTTCTACTTTCCTTCCTTAGAGAAAAAGGCAAATATATTTCTTCTTGATTTTGGGGGAAAAAAAAATAA